ATAACTACATGGTTTCTTACGCTTTTAGCATGAATGGCTAGCAGGAAGTTTGCCTGCGCCAACGCTCCCCCAACTCACTTCTACTTTTGCACTCCCTTTAGCCAGCGTTCTGCTAGCGACCGTTTTGCGGGAAAGTCAGTGTGAAGTAGAAGTTGGGAGTCTTTCGGTGCGCGTTTCTCTCCGGATCCGGCGATTTGCTAGATAATCAGGACGGAGATGCAATCCAACAATTTGAGACGGACAAGAGGTGGTCCAATGTGTCAGAATCAGAGCGGAACTTCGGTTCGATACTCGCTGTGCGGATTATATTCGGTCAACAATGCTCTTCAACACCGCGATATGTTGTCGGTTGAGACAATGGCGCCAATTGTGCGTCGTTTGAACGAAAAATCAGGCGAAAGTGAGGGCCTTGAACCTCACGGTAACGACAAATACGGTGCCTATTCTACGGCGGCGCTGCACGAAGCACTTCGAGCCAAGGGATATCAACTGAGGTACCTCAACAACATGGCGACTTTCAATTGTAGCAAGAAGAAGTGGTTTAAGAAGGTGGCCCGCTCCAAGTACAAGCATCTCATGATCATTGGTAGAGCAATGGGTCAGAAGAAAGGGACGTGGCACTGTATTGCGCGAGCTTTAGTTCGTGACAAACACTACTTCATCGACTCCGATGAATTCGTCTACAAGGCAAGCACTGAGGAGGGATTGCGACATTTCTTTGCCGAGGTTGATGGTGTTTATGCCATCGAGCCAAGTAATCAATCAAAATAAATTTTCTTTTACTTTTAATCCTTCTTCAAAATTCAAGTTTTAAATTTAAAACCACATTGTCAGTTTGATTTATAATAATAATAATTAAATTTGGGCAACTCCACAGTAATTTAATATTAAACAACACGTGAAAATGTGAGTTTGTTTGTATGTCTCTTTAAGTCGTTTGTGTAGCTGGTATTAACCTGAGTAATCTACTTGAGTGAAAAAAGATCATGCGTTTCGCGTGGAGCTGGATCAGT